TTGAATTGTGTAGACACTTTTTTTTTAAATGGTTAATCTGTTGTAATTTTACTGTATTCCAATGGCTTGCTATAATGTGTGTTATATGAACTATATTCTGTCTCTTTTTGTGTGTGTACACAAAACTTCAGATCTGGGTTAGCGCTGACAGTATTTATTTATACCCACACTGGCGTCTCCCACATTTGAGGACACACCAGAGCATCAGTCTTCATTACTGTCAACATAAGCCTGACCCTTTTCAACCAATTAGCATTGTTAAGCAAAACTCTAGTTCACGCTTGTGTGAGTGTGTTGTTGTAGACGTGTTTGTGTGTACATATTGGCTCGGCTGATGTAGCGAAGTCCATTTGCAGTTATAGGAGTGTCTGCATCATTATCAAGCTCCCCTCCCCAGTCCTGCGTCCTTCAGCCAGGTCTGTGGCGTGTGAAGGAGAGCTGGGAATGAGACCAGATAGATGGGGTGTGCGTCAGGGAATGGAGTGTTTGTCCGAGGTATGGAGATGCACTAATGGATGAATGTGTGGTGTGCTTGTGGTCAGTGTTTTGGCTGTTGATTTGGCATAAACTGCCAGATTTGAAATGCTTTCTCCCAGGAAGTCACAAAATGCTTATGTGTGGTGTGTTGACACATTAGGTGTATGGCCTCTCCCCTGTCGAGCACTCTGACAGATGCAGCCTGTGATTCCAGTCCTCAGCAGATTAAGAGATTACAGTGTTGGGTGGGAGTGTATAATAACCCTAATGCATCTAAAACCGCATTTACACACGGACAGCTGAGAACATCAGAGTGCTGATGAACTATATCTGCACTCTTCATTATCTCTTCATGATAGGTCAGGCCGACGCTGACCACAGAGTTAACAGCTGATAGTTTCAGTTCTAGTCAGGCTGGGACAGATGCGGCTTACCTCAACACGGCACAGCTCAGGTTGCTGTTGATTAGCGTTAACTAGGTGACGGTGTCAAATCCACGACCCAGACAGACTTACAACAACATAGCAGCTTAAAAGCAACTTTTAGCACAAGAATAGTCTCTCCTGCACTCATTGCTGCAAAGCAGGATGGGAATGCTATTAGTACGAATTATATACATTACAATTTGAAAGTTTGGGGTCAGATTTTTTTTTTTAAGAATTAATACTTTGAGCATACAGTAGGTGTCAGTTAAGACACTAATAATACATTTCCATTTTTTAAATAAATTATTTTTACCTTTCTGTTTATCAAAGAATCCTGAAAAACAAAATATATAAATTTCCACAAAAAATAATAAGCAGCGCAACTGTTTTCAATATTGATAATAATAAGAAATGTTTCTTGAGCAGCAAATCAGCATATTAGAATGATTTCGGTAGGATCATGTGACACTGAAGAAGACTGGAGTAATGATGCTGAAAATTCAGCTTTGCATTACAGAAATGAATACGATTTTTAAATATATTAAAATAGAAAACAGGTCTTTTAAATTTTAATAATATTTCAGCAATGAATAATCAAATTAATGCAGTCTAGTTTTCTTCAAAAACATAAAAAAAAAGAATATACCAGACCTAAAGTTTTGAATGGAAGTTTATGTTTCTATTTTTGGAAAAGTACCAAAAATAAATATATATACTTTATAATAATACTAAAGTACATGTATCTGTCTCTGAGTAGCATGTCTGTGTGCTCTACATTCAATAACAGGAAATACGTCAGCACAGAAAAGTTAACTATGCTTGTCAA